CACACCCTGGTGGTACTGGGAAAGAGGCAGCTTACATGGAGGGCTGGTGGCAAGGGGTTCAGAGCATCTAGAATTCTGGAGCCTTCTGTACTGCATGCTGAGGCACTGCCTGTCTGCAGCCTTACCAAAGATAGGGGGGCTTTTCTTTTATGAGAGCCAATCAGCGCCTTTCTGGGGGACAGCAGACTCCATTAAGGACTGGGAACTAAACAAACGTCAAACTCAGATGCATCCAGCCTGCTTCTCAACTTGGCTCTAGGATGCTGGCTCATAGAACACTCCAGTGTTTCTAGGGAATCCTCAAAAAAATGGCCCCTTCAGCTCACTCTCCATTGGCACTCTAGTTGACAGACACCACCCACAGGCTCAAGCTTTGAAACAGTTTTTTGGCAACCATTTGCACTCTTCATTATGAGAAAATAATTACCAGATATCCAAGGGAAGGCCTCTGGCATAAAAGGCAAGGACTCCCAGCAGCAAATGGTAAAAAGTGCCTCAAAGGGAAGATGAGAGAAGATAGTGCATTTAGGGAAAGTGGGAGGGTGTTACTCAAGAAAGGAAGAGGCAGAGAACACAAACAAGCTCCTGGAAATCAAATACTTAAAAGGAAGAGTGAAAAACTCATTGTGGTTGAAAGGTAAAAGCTGAAGAAGCCTAGAAAGAAGAGATAAGGGCTGGAGAGACGGCAGTCTGGAAAGCAAGCATGAAGCCTTGTGTTTGAGTCTCAGAACCCACGTCAAAAAGCTAGGCATGGTGGTCCTGCTTGTAATACTCCTGGCTCCGGGGAGGTGGAGACAGACATCTGAACAGCCAGCTTGAGGGACAGCCAGCCTAGACCTATGGATGAGTCCCAGACCAGTGAAAGAGTCTAACACATACAAGGTGAGGGTTCAGAGATGGCTCAGTGGTCATGGGTTCTTTGCTCGGCAAACATGTCTGCTAGAGTTTGAATCCCCAGCTCCTGTGTTAAAAAGCCAGGCACGGCTGTAACCCCAACACCATGAAGCCAATGAATGAGCAAGTGTCCAGAAAGAAACTGGAAGTGAACAAAGAAACAACAACAAAAGGACATACTGCACACACAGGCACACACACACACACACACACACACACACACACACACACACAAACAGAGAGGCTTTGTATTTCTCACTAACAAACATGAGAGCTAAAATGTAGTCAAGCAATACTTCTTGAAGAAAAATGGTTTCCAATCTATAACCCAATTTCATCCAAATGCTCAGTCGAGTGTGAAGGGAAAACAAGGACATGTTCAGATGTGTGGAGGGGTCAAACCCTTAACTGAAGGAGGTGTCCCACCAAAGGAAGGGGAGTGGAGGGAGACGTATGCAGTCCAAATGAGGTGTGGAAAGACCCTGGAAGGCTCAGGAAGCCGTGTTACCTAGGATGCTGACATGTTCTGGGGTCAAAGTGCAACTCTGTCCCTACTGAAGCAATTATAAGGCGCCAAGGAAAACTTCCCAAAGGAAATAGAGTGTACAGAAAATCCCCCTGCTGAACACTCTTGGAGAGTTAAACAATTGGTAGAGCCTCGGTGATGAGTTAATGATGTGTTACAAAGAAAACTAAACAAAAGCAATTATCATAGCCAGAAAAAATAACAACAAAAATGTGCAGAGGAAAAAAAAAAAACTCTCCACATTTTACTTCCCAGCTCAGCTCTGATAGAAACACCCTCTAACAGTGATACAGTTGTCCCCCGCCTCTGATCACTGAAGGAGCTTGCTCCCCAAAAGCTTTATGTTAATGGTCCTGAGATGGTAGAAAACCAACCGTACTGCAGAGCCCAGAAGTGAGGCTTTGGGGAAGTGAGTGGATCAGATAAAACCATTCTAGTGGGGCCCTTGAGAGTGAATTCTAGCGGCTTTAAAAGGAGAGGGAAAGAGACCACACAAGCACAGAGGGATCCATGTGACCCCCAGCAAGGGGAGGCCCCTCACTGAAGCCTGCAGCTTCCGGAATTGAACTCAGTAAACTTCTTTTCTCAGTAAAGTAGCCTGCTGCAAGCATTTTATTAAAAATAACAACTACTACTACTGACTACGCAACACCAAATGTTCCTTTACTTTAAATCATCCAATCGCTACACTGGGAAGTCATGAGAGTGGGGGTGGCATATGGGATGTCGTGGGGGAGGGGGCGGTGAGAGCTAAACACCTCCAGAAGAAGGCCAAAGGCTGAGATTTCAGACAGCCATCTAACGGTCTCCTTAGAGGGCTGGGATGGGAGGGGGGCGGGGAGAGGCTGGAGATGGCCTGGCTAGGGTATAAGCCTTTTCCCCACCCTTTTAGACCACTCTTTCTTCGGTCAGGTTTTGCCACCCGCAGCCATCCCAGGTGGACACAAAGACACTGGGCCAGGAAACCAGAAACCTCAGTCACGCCATGCCACACTCACAGTGTTTACAGAAAGCAAGATCATTGTTTACAGGAAGAGAAACACTGAGCTAATTGACTTTTAAAGACATCAAATACAGAAGACAAACAGAGCATAAAACCCCACGTGGAAAAGGGGCACAGTGTCCCAACCAGTAGGAGCCTTTGTCCACAGGCTTTTCCGGAACCTTCTCGGGCCTTGCTCCCTAAATCATGAGTCTGCTTTTTCCATGATGAAACAAACAAGCAAGAAAGCAAAACTTCATTCTTCACAGACCATTCAAATCCCCTGACCATGCTACACCAATCCCTACAGTCTGCTGGGACCCCTTCTCCAAGCCTCTCCTGTCACAGGAAAGGTTCTGGTGGTGTGAATCACAAGGCTTCATCCCTGGGCTGCTGCTTGTCCAAGACTGGGAAGATACAGAAGGGGACAAGAGGACAGCTTTAAGTCCAGCCAGAAGACAGTGACATGCTGTTGAGAACAGATGACAAAGGGAAAAAGATTAAGACAAAAGTGAGAAACAAACAAACAAACAAACAAAAAACCTACCACCACTACCACCGCCACTAAAAACAACAAGGTTCTTGCTTTTGGGATGAGATGATTGTGTGTGTGTGTGTGTGTTTTAATAAATTGATTTGTTTTTTGCTGTATTGTTGTTTTGAGACAGGGTTTCATGTAACTCAGGCTGGCCTTGAACTCCCAATCCCCTTGTTTCCAGCTTCCAAGCACTGGAATTACAGCATGCATTATCAGGTCTGGCTAAAATTAACTTATTTTTTAAGTGAATTGATTGCGATTATGGGTGACGTATTTTTTTTTTAAATGTCCTTACTTGGAAAAATTCAAAGTTGGTATCTCTAGTCCCTGCTCAAAATAAACTTCAGTTTTGGAATAAAGTCGAGGACACAGTGTGGAGGATGATCCCAAAGAGAATGAGACCCACCACAGAGCCAGAACTACAGATACGAGGAGGCATCTAGTCCAGGCTCCCTTTGGTGCCAAGTAGATGCCCCTGCCATGGGCCTGCTGGCATGTCCTGGTTGGCCCCTTTTGGTGGTGGGAGCTCATTCCCTGTGCAGTTTTGATTATTAGAAAGTATCTTTTTGTGCCGACGCATAAGGGAGTCTGGGAGCCGTGACTGTCTCTCACAAACCACGGACAAGTTTTAATTAAAACCTCAGAGTGACTGGAGAGTCCTTTTCTTGTGTACCTCTGGGCGTGGCCAGGCTGCCCTGGGGGAAGGCGGGGCCTTTCCACAACAAAGTCTCAAGCCACTGTCCCTAAGAGGTGTAGGGGGTCCTGCTGAGAGCAGCAGGGTGCCAGGAGCCTTCCAGTCACCTCACTGCTCTCCCCATTTTACGTAGGAAGAAACTGAGCACGCTCCACAAGAGCAGAGTGTGCATAAGTACATGCACATACCTGCCTGTCCGTCCTGTCCTGGGACATGTGTAATGTAGGATTCAGCTATGGTCAAGTAGAGAAAGCCAGAGGGAAATGGGCAGGTTATTCCTGCTATTATGTCCAGCCTTTGATACGATCAAAAATCATCCCCTGTGCAGTTTCTCTCTTCATTCTCAAAAGCCACACACACACCACAACACCAAAACCAAACTTCCACAAACCGATAAACATAAACAAGGAAGAAAACTGATGCTGCTTCAGGAAAGGTTAGGATTATGTGAGGGACTTCATTCAAAGCCATTGATGGCTGCACAAGGCCCAGCCAGCTGCAGGTTGGGTATGTCTGAAGGAAGCCCTGGCTTAGGGAGGTTGGCAACAGTGATGGAAGGATGGATAGAAGGTTGGTTAGACTGACAGACAGGTCGACAGATGGATGAATGGAAGGGTGGGTGGGTGGATGGATGGACAGACAGACAGATGGACAGGTGGACGGACAGATAGATGGATGAAGAATTACTGGAAGATCTGAAATCAGAGCATTTCTCTTCCCTGTAAACACCTGGGAATGGACAAAGGCAGGCTAGGGGACAGCCTTCAGGATCCACACCTGTCTTCCCCTAGCTTCTCGCAGAACCTGAGAAAACACTCCGAAGAGCAATGTCTCCTAAAGTGGCATCAACAAAAGACAGGGAGGGCAAAAGCCACCTTCCATAAGGCCTCTGGTGGCTCTGTGTGGAACCCCACACACCCAGTTGGGGTACAAAGGACAACAGAAGGAATGAGATGGTGCAAGGGTCTCGGGGTCAGTGAGAGGTGGAGTGTGGTAAGCCCCAAAGGGTGGATCACAAGATGAGGCTCAGAAGGACCTGGCAGGCTTGGGAGTGGGAAGCCTGTGAGCAGGCCAGGGAGAGCCTCCAGCTGAGCCATCCTCCAACTGTGAGACCTGAGGTAACTGGCATAGACCTGGCTGGGTTGGCCTCACCTGAGAGAGGGCAATGGTCACCTGTCTGGCCAGGTCTGATAACCAAGGGGGATAGATAGACATGTGTGAGAAGTATTTGAAGGTCACATCCTGATGGACCCTTTTACTGTAAATCCCAGAGCCCTTGGGAGTGAGGGTACCAGCTGATACTCCTTAACCCTCGTCATGGAAGGCTCACTTTCCACACCTCCAGCCCTCCCCATCCTGGACTCACCCTCAGAGCCGGCAGGGAGCTGACCTGGTCCATGGTCAGTGTGGCCTCCTTGTAGTGCTTGCCCGAGGGGCAGAGCTTCAGAAAGGAGTCATGGATGCTGAGGAGAAAGAAGAGGGGCATAGTGGTCACATGGGAAAAAAGGGCTGTGGAGTGCCCTGCTAGGGTGTGTAGGATGTCTCATGCAGAGGAGACTAAGTGCCCTGACATGGAACAGGACACATTCCCCAATCCTCTCATGTTCGAAGTGGGGGTATAAAAACGACCTGGGGATGAGGAAAGGTGAGTGGCTACACTATGCTGTGTCACATGGACCACACTCCATGGTGTTCACTCCCAGATGTCAGAGCTGACAGGACTCTGTCATGGCTCCTTCCAGACCCTCAGGAACAGATGGAGACATCTCAGTTCTCTCTTGGATATCCAGATAGTTCCATCCTCAGCATGGAGATAAGAGGTTACCTGGTGAACACAGGAGCTGGGTTCAAAGTCCATGTGCTGACAGCTGGGAAGCCTGACAGCCAAGCTAGACAGCTGGCAGCAAGTGGTCCCCAGAGACTGAAAAGCTGAGCAGCCTACTTCTTGCTTTTATCATGCCCCTCTTTATCAGTAGGCAGACAGAACTTTGTAAACGACAGACAGCAGGATGTAGCTGGATGGCCACTGAGCAGATAATAAGAAGGAATCCTGCCCCAGGCCAAGAGAGGATGACCCTTACTTAGCCTGTGTTCTCACCCCATCCTGGACAGTAGGGTCTGCCCACGAGCAGGCTCCTGGGACTACAAGGCCGGCGACTGTGGCAGCCAGTGGAGGAGGGGGCGGACAGCAGATCCAGCAAGGCCGTGTGGTCTTGGGTGACTTGCTTAATGTTTCTGAGTCTTGGCTTCATCATTTGAAAAAGGAGCCATCAATATTCTCTTTTGTGATGCAAACTCAATGTAAGTGAAAAGTGTGTGTGTGCGTGTGTGTGTTCAGGGCTAGATTATAAAGGAGGAAGCATTCTCATGTCACTCAGGCTCTCTCTCAGCCTTCTTTTTAGTTATTACCATTGCATTTTTATTTCGTGTGTGCCTATGCACTGGCATATTCGCACACTCACACACACACACACACACACACACACACACACACACACGCATGCATACATGCACGAGGAGGTCAGAAGCAACTTTTGGAAGCTTGTTCTTTCTTATGCCATGCATGTCCCAGTTATCTGACCCCGGTTTCCAGGCAGCAAATACCCTGCTTGCTAAGTCATCTCAGCAGCCCTCCAGCCTCTCTCATGATCCTCCTTATGCTTCAAAATTATCCTTCTCCCCTCCACTCCTTTCCCGTTCTGCCTTTCTCATGCATCAAAACTCTAATCTCAGTGGAATACTGGGAACTAGCAATTTAATTCACCTTCTGGAGTGACTAACCCAGTGTCAGCCCCTCCACTGACATCCCCCAGATAAACACAGGTGAATTTTTAGTCAGTGAGATTTAGGGCCCTGTGACTAGGTGTAGAATCCAGGCATGATTTTGTGACTAGAGAATCAGGGGTAGAGGAAGAGGCCATGCCACTGCCCAACAAGAAGAGAATGACGAGCCACCTTCTGCTCCTTTTTTTAGCTCACTGACTAGGAAAGCACCCTGTGTCAGTCATGGACAAGTAGGGAAAAAACAAGCCAAGGTTCTGTTTGCCTACAATGTGCAGCTCTGCAGGCTGGGAGACTAGTGTCCACCCCACTGCCACCAGCTCGCTGGCCTCCAACCTTCCAAATGGGCTTGAGCCCTGGGGAAGCCCCATCGGGAAGTTGGAGGGTGTGAGAGAACAGTTAGGATCTGTCTTCCCTGTCCTCACAACCTTAGCACGGCTCTCAGCTGAGTTTGTCCTTCCAGGACACCACCGGCAGCAGCTTCAACCCACACCGGGGCACCTCAGGCCCTGGGCAGGAATGGTTGTTGTCTAGATGCCTCCCACAGCCCCTGCTGTGGTTCCCCATCCTCCATCACCTCCCAGAACTGAAGCTGAGGATGCTGCCTTCGTCCTCCCAGGATGCTGACTAATGAGGCAGACAAATCCTTTCCCTCCCCTACTAAGTGTGAGAGCAGAGACCATAGATGTGGGTTCCATTCCTGGCCGTCCAATGGGAGGCAGTTCCTTTTCAGTGGCTCTGTGCTGACTTGGGAAGGCCTGGCAAATGGGAAGTGGACCAGGGTTTGGAGATGGGGGAGGGGGAGTGGAAGCATGACTCTGTCAATCTAGTAAGGGACCCTGAACTGTCCCCAGAGGCTCTGTGTAAGTATTCAGGGGGAGCCAAAAAGCAGGATGTAGAAGGTTGGGAGAGAATTCTAGAAGGTATGGGATGGGAAAGGTCACCTCAGATCAACAGGAAGAAAAGCCATTCCTGCTAGAGGTTCTATCCCTGCTACCTCTAAAGGAGCAAGGGCAGGCAGTCACAGGCAAAGAGAGCATTTTGTCATTATCGCTGTTAGAATTGCTGCCGGCCTTCCTTCCTTCCTTCTTTCCTTCCTTCCTCCCTCCCTCCCTCCCTCTCTTCCTTCCTTCCTTCCTTCCTTCCTTCCTTCCTTCCTTCCTTCCTCCTTTCCTTCCTTCATTATTTTTTCAGAAAGGGTCTCACTATGTAGCCCTGGCTAGCCTAAAACTCACTATATAGACCAAGCTTGCCTTGAACTCATAGAGATTTCCCTGCCTCTGCCTCCAAAGTGCTAGAATTAAGCATGTGTACCAACCATCATGACCAGCCAAAAAAGTCTACATTTTGCTAGGTGTGGAATGGGGGAGTTGAGGATGGGGGCTAAGAATCCATGTGCTTGTGCCTATGGAGTCCAGAGGTGGGTGTTCTGTCTTATTCTGCAACTTTTCATCCCTCTCATTGAACCCAGATCTCAGCTAGGCAACCTGGACACGGAGCTGTGGGGATTCTGTCTCTGTGTCTCCACCCTCGAGTCAAAGCACTGCTTAGCATTTCCACAGAGGCCCTGGGGACTGAACTCAGATATCAAGCTTGCGCACTAAATCAACTGAGCATCTCCCCAGCTCCTCACTAGGTTTAAGCCTTCCTGTCAACACACGCTGGCCGTGTGTACCTAGGGTGACTGCTCTTCCATCTGTACCATAGCGAGGACCCAGCAAGGCAGGGGCCACTCCTTTATAGAAAACAGGAGGTTGATTCTGACTTGCCCAATGTCACATGGCTGTGGGTGTTAAAACGTGAGCTGCAGACACCAGAGCTCTTGCCCAGAAGCCCAGAGAAGGTGGTCTGGGAAGACCTGCAGTTGTCACCAACCTTCTTCTGACAACACACTGTACCCTAGGCATACTCAGACATGTCACCCTCCTAGCATCTTCCCAACGGTCCCTGTGGGAGAGGTGTAGTAAACTCTTTGTGGATGGGTAAACTGAGGCTTAGGGAGTTTACCTAGTGTGCCAAGGTCATATAACTGGGAAGAAACAAGGGTGGGTGACTGAGCCCTAAAATGGGGTTATTTGAGTTGTGATGTCTCCCCTTGAGGGGTCCACTACACCTCTACCCCCACCCCAGGAGAGAGGCCCTGTGCACCCATCCCCAGACACTGGGCAAGGGTGTTGCACTGGGCCCTGCCCAGGCTCCATGCCTTCCCAGACAGCCACAGGGACCAGCTGTCCACAGATGAATCACGGCCGCATCTCGGCTGCCACAGAATGTTCTCCTCCTCCAAATATGGATCAGCCAGCTTGAAATGGAGCTCTGAATTAATCACTAATGGACTCAAAAGTCAAGGCCATTTGAGAAACTCACACGTTCAGCCTGCCAACAGCCAGGCAGCCTGGGTGTGGCTTGTTTCCACACTTGGCTCTGAGACAAGAGAAGGGCTCACAGTCTGCTTGCTGAGAGCTACCTCTCCATGTGACCCTGGACCTCAGTTTCCCCACAGCCTCACAACCCACAGCCTCAGTTTCCCATGTGAAATGAGTGTTTTCCCCTGTCTGGGTTCTTGCACTCAGGTATCTGTGACTCTGAAAGTCTGTTCCCCTCTCTGACACCCTATCATCCACTGCCTCTGAGACTTTTTAGTTTAGTGAGTCTCAAATGGAGTTCTCTGTTAAAATTCTGCAGGAATTTGTAAAAGGGTCTGTACCCTGCTTGTCTTTGGGGTTCTTATTCAAGCCCAGAACAACACACAGGTTCTACAAAGCTTTCCGACACTTCTCCTGGACCTGCAAGACCAAGATCAGAGATTTAGTGTAAGCCTCTGGTCCCCGCCTGGGCTCAGCTGTCTGGGCTCTTCCATCCCATTGGCCAATAGCCTATCGCCTTATGGTATAGCCCACAGATATTTATAAACAGCCCTTCTTTAGCCCAAACATACAGATTTTCATTTCCAAGCTGTGTGACCCCAGGAAAATCACTGTCTTTCTCTGAGCCAGTTTCCTCATTTGCAGACAAGAAATAATGGTGCAGTCGCAACAGCTGTGTGTGCTCAGCCTGAGCTGAGTGTATATTGCTCATACCATGACATGTTATCTCCTTGGCCTAATGATGGCTTTGTAAGATTGGGCCCTGGATCCCCCCTCACATTGTTTCATAGCGTGGAAACCGAGGCCCAATCACATAGCTAGAAAGTGGCAGAGCTGAGCCTTAACCCAGGCTCTTGGCTCCCAGGAAGAAAACTTGCGATATTCCACAGTTTTCCCAGGGAACTCCAGTGGCTGATAGGTAGATCAGGAGACGGAGACTGGAATGTCTGGGGACTCTCCTAAGATGAAAGAGTGGCTTCATAGAGAGCATTTGCCTAGCATGTGGGTTTCCCCATGGTCAGTCCCCAATAGGAAGGAAGGAAGGAAGGAAGGAAGGAAGGAAGGAAGGAAGGAAGGAAGGAAGGAAGGAAGGAAGGAAAAAAGGAAGAGAGGAAGGACAGATGGATGAATCAGCCTGAGCAGGGTCTGGAAACGACGCTTCAACCCATCCTTAACCCAGAGATTCCAAGTGTCATGGATTCATCTAAAGGGCTCAGCCTGAGCCAAGTGGACCAGGGCTCACGTCACAGTGTATGTGGATCTGGTAACCCATTATGTGCTTATTCATGTGGAGAAGAGGTGAGACATCTTACCCAGATCACTGCCTTCCCCATTTTTTTTTTTTTTACCAGTGGACCACCACCATTCACCTGGACCATCTTTGAGTCCACTTAAGAAAAACTGTTCAAAAGTGACCAGGGCTTGGTGTGGTCTAACTTGACCATCGTGGCTCATAATGGTCCTTTTTCCCCTAGAACTAGAACTAAACACTTTCTGAGCCCATGCCATGGATCAGTGTCGAAGCTGTTTCCTTCCTTTAGCTGTGATGCACCCCTAACTCAGACATGTTCGGGACCCTGGATGCCTCTGACGAGCTGGTTGGTTTGCAGCAGGTGTTCTTCCCTTCCGGGTATCGTCCTGCATCTGTGTGTATAAGCAGCCATCCCTTACTCCAGAAGCCAGTAGCTTCTCCCAGCCCTCAGTCTAGTTTTCCAAAGCAATACACTGCAACAGGCTAAAAACATAAGCACTACAAAGCCTACAGTCAGGATGACTTATATTCTGTATCCACACTTATCTACCCTGTTCTCCAGGGGCATTTTACAAACAACTTATTATTTCTCTTGGTTTTTTTTCTTAATATTTATATAACATTTCTAAGTACTATGCTAATGCTTTCACTTGTCAGTACCACTTCATTACAGACATTATCTTATGACATGTCCCTATTAACGGGAGGAGTTATTTCTCTAGCTACGTCTCCTTTCCCGATGTCCCAATTTAAAACAATTTGCCTGAATCGATATTCCGTATTTACCGTATTGCTATTATATTTTATTTATTAGTCAAGCATCGCTCATGGCTCATTTCCCCTGTGTAACATGATTACATTCTTTTCCTTGCAAAGCCTTTTGTTTTTCCCAGAGTTAACCATTGCTTTGTTTTCTTTTTCTTAGATTGCAGTGAACCTACCATTAGTTTATCTACCAAACTTTCAGCAGCTCTAGAAAGAGCCAGTTGTTCTCCAGGCCTGTTTCCATTGTCCTGCTTGAGCTTTTCCTAATTACCATCCTTGCAATTAAATTTTCCATCCCCTATGGTAGTATCCTTTCTTCTCTGGACACTGTGTTTTTTGTGTTTGGTTACTTAATTTTAGCTAAGCAAATCTGAAATGTCACGATGGTGGGATGATGTGTGCTCTTTTGTTCCCCGTTGACATGTAGAGGTCCTTGGCCTTCAAGTCAGACTTGCAACAAGGCTTTGAAGGTTAAGTGGGAGACCCCTTGTTCTTCACTGTGCTTGGTGGGCCCAGCAGCCAGCCCAGATAGAACTCCTATCCAGATGGTGAGCTGGTCTTCCACTGGAGCGGGCAGGACTGCCAAGCGGATCATAGGCAGGAGGTAGACTTCTCCAAGGCTCTCAGCTCCCTAGGCCTTTCTGAGTTTTGATTCTGTCACTCCAGGCCCTGCAGATCAGGTTCTTTCAGCTTTCTGCTCAGCTGAGTCTGTTTTAGAATCTATCTACTTGGTGCTTCTCATACTTATGTTGGCATTTCTCATCTATGTTTGTGTGTGTGTGTGTGTGTGTGTGTGCGCGCGCGCGCGCATGCTTACAGTTTTTTCCCTTCTTTTAAAAACATGCCTTTGGTAGAGGGGACAGACAAGCGATGCTCATTTCCTGCAAGCTCCCTGCCCTTTGCTTTCCTGATTTAATAGTGTAATCTTGAACATCATACTTCTAAGATTCTCCATGGAGGCTCCGGCCACTCAAGATGGAATCCTGCTGGTGGGTGAATTAGCATCTGTTTCCTGGGCCATCATGACGCAAGTTGAATGTCCAAGTCAAAGTGTCTTTCTCATTTTGAAACACAGCAGCCGAGCACCTTCATCATTTGAGGTCATCGTCCATATCTTCAGCTGCTCCTCAGGCTCTGATCTCCTCTGGCTGGGGTGTCACCTTTGCTGAGGGAGCAGGACCCTCTCCAGTATCACCCTGCCACCTTGGGGTTTCTGTCCCCCTGCTCTCGTTCATCTTATCTGAAGGTGTGCAGTCTGGAGACAGATGTAGAGTAGGGGTTGAGCCACCACATCCTCCATGTCTTCATTAGGCAGTGTACCCAACATTCCCTGCCCGCCCAACTCTCTTCTCCATGGCCCCAAAGCCTTCTGGCAGGAGCTACCTAAAGTGAGGCTTGGGCTCATTGTGCTCAGGCTTGGAGCCACCAGCCAGACAGGGCTAGAAGGAGCTTCAAGAGAAGCTTGTGGGACAGGTCTGAGCTGACGCAAAGCTTTCCCTAGCAACATTTCAACAGTTGCACCTTTTCCACGGGGAAGTGTCATCAAACTTGGGGCTCACAGACTGTTCCCCTGAGCAAGGTTTGGCTCCTCATCCTTCAGAAGCCAATCAAAGGAGCCAAATCAATAGCAGAAAACAGAAAAGGATTTATTCAACATGGCCACACTGGGAAGAGGGACAAAAGGGATCCAGCGGCTCTCCAGGTCATGTTCAGCTAGGTTGAAGTTCAGGTAGACAGCCGAGGACACACACACATGCACAGCTCAGCAGTACTGGTCAAAGTGGGGTCCCACCCACCTCTGACCCATCATTATCTGGGCTCCAGTCTCATCCTGTAAAGTGGCTTGACAAGTGGTTAGAACTCTTTCATGGAGACAAGTTCACCTTATAGCTGGTACCTTTTCCTTCTCCTAGCAAGAGATTCCTGGGAAGATTCCCATTTCTTAGCGATCTGTTATGTGAATAATCTGATAGACTGAGAGACACAGTGTCTCATTAGAATATCTTTTATTTCTGCCAGGCCAGTTACATAAACTCACTGTATTTTTCATTGCTCTGGCAGAATACCTTACCAAAATAACTTATGAGAAGGAAGGCTTGCTTGGTTCATGGTTCAAAGGTGTAACCTCCTCATCTCCATGGTGGAGATGAACATGGTGGCTGGGGCAGCTGGGATGTTGGGTCTCTAGTCCTGAGGAACTTATGGGAAGACCTAGCAAATCCTAGTGGATCAGGAGAAAAAGAGTCTGGAAACAGAAGTTTCCACAACCTTCAGGATCCGCTCCTACAGCCCTACATTTGTCGGCAGCGAGGCCCCACACCCTAAAGATTCCATAACCTCCTGAAATAGCATCCCCAGCAGGAGATGGAGTGTTCAAACACACGAGCCTGCCGGCGCATTTACATCCAAACCATAATAAGCACCTTTGATGGGGATGGGAGCAGGCTGGGAAGAGGATCTGAAAGTTGCCAGCTCAAGACCTGGGTGTTCAGCTCACCCAGGATTCAGCTCACTAAGGATTACTTGCTTCCAAGGACCTCAGGAGGCTCACACAGAGCAAAGGAAAATAGGGGGAATGATGCTCAAGAGGAAAAACATGGCTGCCATCCATATGCTCTCTCCCAAAGTCTTCACCGTCATCATCACAACCACCCAACAGGCTAAATAAAATCCACAACAGGGTCTGGTATTGGATTACAGTTCATCAAAGTAGGGGAAAGAGCCAGAGCCACTGAGGAAGGATGAATGGCTTTCTTTCTATATGCTTCATATAAAAACTGGCGAAGAGGACAACTCAGAAAAGAAAAAAAAGACAGAGGCACAGAACAAAACGAATGAGATGCAGGCACAGGAAGCAATGATGTAAGTGGGTGAGGGATTCATGAAGGTATGTGCGTGGACAGTTCTCTTGGGAGCCTGGATGATAAGCCGACAATGAGCCAGCCTGAGCTTAGTCAGGAAGAAGGGCCCCCGGGAGAGAACGGAGACGTGGGCTTTTCATTTAGAACCTGTGTCCTATTTGAATTTCCTAGCCATATTTTAAAAGTTTCTTTTCCTCTTGTTTTCTTTTTTCATGCAAATGTTACTTCCTAGAAAAATATCAGTAGGGATTAGGTGAGTAGTAGGATGCAGCTCATTTGGAGTTTTTCCTTTTTTTTTTTTTTTTTTTTTTAGAAAAGTGAGTTCAGAGTATGACTCAGTGGCAGAGTCCTTGGCTAGCGCGTGTGAAACTCTAGCTTGGATTACCAATATGGGGGGAAAAAGGTAAATAAGTAACATTTTTAAGAGGAAAGGTAGCACACGACCTCAAGATTGTCCCCGGTCTCCAGAGCTCTTCGTTACTTAGCTACCTCTATTGTGCCTGGAGAGTCTGATGCTTGCGGTGTTTGGGACAGGTCAGTCCAAGAAGCGCCAATGAGGACAAAGGGTGTGTGTGTGTGTGTGTGTGTGTGTGTCCAGGGCAGGGTCTAAATGGTCTCCTCATTCCCATCTTCACTGTCTTCCCTCAGAAGTGTTCTGGAAAGCTCCCCGATACACCACACAGCATTGCTGAGCACCTGGCTACAAGGACATCTACCCCGGTCGTCCCATGCCCTGTGATGCTATTTGTCACATCAACATTCTGGATGGAAAAGTCTTTGGCGAAGAGCTTTCCGACGGGGCAGAGCCCTGCTTGAGAATACATTCTCTGCTCCCACTGTATCTGGCACAGAGCAGGCTCTGGAAGGAGGCCTGAGGACGGTGGCAGCAGGAAGAGGGGACAGGGAGCAGAATGAGTGTCTATGATGCTTCCAACTTCACTGGACCAGTGAATGGCCCCAACAGGCTCATCCTACACTTTCTAAGCCTTTCTTCATTTTCCTCAGGGCCAGCATGAAACCGTATCAGGAAAGAACCCAGCTCGGGGAAAGGGAAAGGAGGACCGGGATCTTTACTCACCACAGAATCTCATTTCTCGTCAGGAACGTCAGAGCCTGCAACAAATCAGAGAGGTGACCTACCACTCAATCCAATCCCAGCCAAACCTTTGGCTCTAGGGCAGGAGATATGGGGTAAGAGGGTCTGAATCACGTGGATACAAGTTTAGCGTAAGCAAGAGGCATCATTGCTGGCCTGGCAAATTTCAGAGCTTCAGGCAAGAGTTCCCTCCTCTTTGTCCCTGGGAAGCTCTTGGTTCTGTACCAAATTCGTGACCCCACTACCCACCTGGTACTCTTCCAGGTCCTCCCACTGCATCTGGTACCTCAAACACTGCCCCATTGCCAACCCAGCCTCCTCCTGCCAGCAAGTACAACTTCTGCCTCCAAGGCCTCAGCAGCTGGTACAGTCCGTTGATTTGGTTGCCATGGTAACCAGCATTCCACCTTCTGCCCCTGAGTTGGCAAACAGGTTTCTTTTTTTTTTTTTTTTTTTTTTCTGCCCTGACTAAGAAACATCACCTCCAAAACAACAAACAGAAAGGCAGGCCAAAAGCGGTCCTGAGACTGTTGACTCAGGGAGTCACAATGCCTGGGACTGAATCCCAGACCTGCCACGTGCTTTCTGTGTGACCTGGGGCAAGCTATGCGACCTCTGTGATGTTTTTTGCCCTTCCCTCTTCAAGGGGACAACAGTCACAGGACCCTGGTGGATTCACTGAGTTGATGCATGCAACAATTATTGACACGTAAGGAAGTGCTCGCTAAGTGTTAGAGCCAGATCCCGAGTACTGTGCGGGGTGTGGCCTACAGAGATGGAAACGTAGACCCTGACTTCCGAGGACAGCCTACAAGACACAGAAGGGTACTTTATGCCATCTGTCTGAGTCCATGCAGGAGCAGAGGGTGCATTCCAATTTGGATGACGCAAAGGGATTCTACACATAGATGAGGTCAAAGGTAAAAAACTACCAAGATGGGACGGAGGTCAGAGTCCCTGAGCCGCAGAGCTGCTCTGGTTCTGGCCAAGGGCACATAGACTGAGCACCCCTGCCTCACACTCTGACTTTCTGGGGGACAGAAAGCAAGGTAGAACGGGGCCAGACTGTGGATCAGGAAACACACACACGAAACAAAAGCAAAAATCAAAAGCCAGAAGATACACAGCACTGCCATTGGCACTGAAGTTCTGAGGGTCTCCCGGAAGTCCTCTCCTGGTTCTCCTCCAGAGGACTTGTTCTGCATACCCACCCTCATGGGACACACAATAGTACTCTTCTGCCTACAGCATATCCAACCACAGCTTGTCCTGGGAGGGGTCTGGGATTCTGACGTGGTGAATCCTCTAGAAATGCGCCTGCATACTGGTTCCTATCTTTCCTGTACAGAAGCAAAGGCCCGGAAGAAGGAAGTCTGACCATCACCCCTTCACTTACTGAACAGGCCCCAGTGCCAGGCGTTTAACATGACCCTGGCGAGAAGCAACTCTTAAGAGTTAGAAACGACCTCTAAGAAACATCTGCTCTCCATGGGCCCACGCTATGCGCACACCTGGCTCCCATATACACACGCCAGGTACGCGCACATCCTTGGAGTTGGAAGCCGATGTTAACAGGGGTAACATGAATATACAGAAACTGCAGATCGAGAAGACAGGCACGTCCTACCCCTTGATTTTGTAACACCTATGAAGTTCAGGTTTGAAAACTGTGCAATGTTTCAAGTAAGTCCTCAGCTTTGTGGGCCACATTTATAGCTACCTTACAGTACATGTAGCCTTTGAACTATAGGCCAGACTTGCCTGGTTGTATACAGTGACACTTAATAGCTATTATATGTGGTAGTCAGGAACCTAAACCTTTGAAATATCAAAGGCCGGGCTTTGTCACTTTAAACAAATCATAAAACTACTGTGAGCCTCAGTTGCTATCTCTAAAACGAGACTTAGAAGTGCCTTCTTTCTAAAATTGCAAGGATGAAAAAGAATGACAAAGTTGTAGCTTTTGTTGTTGTTTAATCAAAATGCCTGGTGTAAACTGAGCACTTGAAAGAGGGAAAACAATATTGCTTTAAAAGTTGAGCCCTGGAGGATGTGTAGGCCTTTCGCAGGCAGGCGCTCATTAAATGCCATCCAAACTTGACCCCTTGAGACTGCCAGGTGCATCTGCCCAAAGCTGGGTCCGCTCCTGCTTGCCGAAGCTCATGGGATTCTTGCTCCCTTGCTCTGGGGACTTGAGAGTTGATGAGTTGAAGGGGTGCTCTGGAGCTAGGCAAGCTGCAGGTCTAGGACACCCAGGGAAGCCTGGGAGTCTTTGAGATGGCATCCTGGCAGGCTGTACCCTTCTCCACCCAGTCTCTTTTAGGCATCCTGATTATACAAGGGTCAGCAACTTGGCACCAGCCTGTTGTGTCTTTTACACCCCACTGACCCTTGCTAAAAAAACAGCAAAAGGAGAGGAGAGATCTGCCAGGCAGCCCAGAGCCCTTAGCTCCTCACGCAGCCCCTACAGAGGTAGACAGGAAGACTGGTGAAGAACACAGATGACTTTTTGCCCTTCCCAGGCACACTCCAGGAATCTGAACCCACAGCCCTCAAGAAGCTACAGTGCAACAAGAGACAGAAAACAAGGGCCAGGCTGGAGGCCAACAGTGGAGCTGCTGGGCATCCTCAAGTGTCCAAAAGAGAGCCATTGGAACAGAAGCCTGAGTGACAGCACGGAGCCAGGTTGGGAAGATGGGGACAGTGTTCCAGGCCCAGGAGGCAGTGGAACCCAGCCAGAACTGCATAACACCGTACGGATTTTTCATGTTTGTTTTATAGGGTACCTTCCCTTCTGAAAATGATGTGGCTTTGTCATTTACAACTGGGATATAAAGATGCCCTTATAAACATAGCTCTTTAATGAAAAGAAATAGGAGCCCTTTTAAAGAAAAATATTAAGGGAATAATTTTTACAGGTGGTAGAGGAATGCACCAGAAGTTACAAGGTTCTCTGTGCTCTCTCGCTCTGTCTCTCTCTCTCTCTGTCTCTCTCTCTCTCTCTCTCTCACACACACACACACACACACACACACACACACACACACACACACACACACAGAAAGCCAAGGTACACCAGCCCTGCTAGCTCCTCTGGCTTTCACCTTCTCCACCCACATGCATCTCCCCCCCCCACCCCCAAAGCCCTGCAACTCCATCCTAGCCGTCCTTTTATTGGTTCTCACCAATAACAATAGCAGCGATAAGAATGTCACCTTGCATTTGCATATCCCTTTACAGTTCCAAATGCTTTTATGTGCACCATCTCATTTGCCCAGGGAATAAAAGACCACGCTTTTTTTAAAAAGAAGAGAAGGAAAGAAAGAAAAAGAAAAATTCTCCCTGTGAGGTTCTGCCTCCAGCGTGTTAGGCAACCTGTGCCCCTCCCCCAGCCCACTGTGCTCCTGGACGCCCATGGTGCCACAGTGATTTTAGCAGAGGTGTAATTGAGCATCAAGGAGGGTCTGCCTGACACAGGTTTCTGTCACTTTTTGGGGATCTGTACAGATTCTTGAAATTCCAGCCCCTGCCCCAACTTGATTTTACTTTTACTTGTCTTGTCAAATTCAGCAGTCATTGGAAAGACTGGCATCCAGGCTATGTAAGGGAATCTCACAATTTAACAACACAAAGAAATAAGCTAACTGAAAAAAGGGGGGGTGATGAGTAGAGCTGAAATGGGTTTGAGAGATGGCTCAGTGATTAAGAACACTTGCAGTTTATACTGCTCTTGCAAAGGAACTGAGTTCAGTTCCCAGCACCCACATTACGTGGCTCACAACTGTCTGTAACCCAGCTTTAAGGGATTTGATGTCCTCTTCTGGATTCCATAAGCACCTGGATTTATGTATACACACACACACTTTAAAATAAAATAAACCTTTAACATTTAATTTAACTTAAAATGAGCCAAGAATATGAATAGGCATATCTCCAAGAAGATAAGGGAATGTCTTAGGAGTCCATGAAAAGCACGTCAACATCATTAGCCATTGGGGGCTTGGTGCAAATCAAACCTACACTAGGCTGTCCCTTCACACCCACCGGGATGGCTGCTTTAAACGGAAAAACAGCAGTGTGCTCACAGCGGCAAACTCCACAATCGCCGGAAGTGGAAGCAAGCCCGAAGCCCATCAACCTGTGCGAATCTATAAAGTAGAATAGTGCTTGGTGCTATGACGGGTGAGGCATGGCCCCACGAAACAGCATGCATTAGAAACAGTCACCAAGACCATACAGCGCGTGCATGGCTCCCCTGCTTAAGATGTGCAGACGACGTGGCCAAATCCATACAGGCAGAAAGTAGACTGGTAGTTTTCAGGGGCTAAGGAGCAGGAAGACCAGCGGTGACTGAATGCAAATGAGGACCAAGTCTCTTTATGGGTAGATGAATATGTTCTAAAATTAAATGGTGGTACAACCCCGAGTAGCTTAAAACCCGCGAAGTTACATACTTTACGGGAGTGAATTGTATGGGGCGTCAATTATACCTTAAAGCTGTTATTTTAAAAATGACAAGGCGTGTTCAAGTGCTAGCCCAAGGCTTGTAAGCCACCATAAATATTATTGAAAAATTTGTGAGTGAATTCAGATCTATGCCCTCAGCGCAGTCCCCTAAACCCAGGGGCCCCACCCACAGCCACCACTCCCTACTCGGCCAGCTGGCTCCGATCTGCGTGCTTCCAACAGTCAGCCAGGCTACACTTGGTCAGCTTTGTCCACAGGTAGGAGTTCGTGATTTCCTCCCTGACAAGTGGCAGGCCTTCGGGAACCCATCTTGGTTTCTCCAAGGCTATATCCCCAGTAAGAATGAGGGTGGCAAGGGTGTCTCGAAGGAGGGCTGCTCTTGGGACAAATGTACCCAAAGATGGAGAACCAGGGTGCTTGGAAACATCCCTAGAGCCCTGGGAATCTGGAAGCCGCCCTGCTTTCCCACGGCAGAGACGTCTAGACTCCCGCCCTGATCATCCGCTTAAGCCCTGGACCAGCACAGTGCAGAGCACAAGTGCTCATCCTACACGCTTGCGCCAAGGCAGAGCTCCAGGCTTCCGCAGTCCCATAGCACAGTGCAAGGCTCTAGAAGGTTCCCCCAGGGACAGGGTGTAGAGGGCAGGGGAGCTCAGCAGCCTAGCCCCTGATGCAGAGCTCGTTGGTGCTTTCCCAGAGTCAGAAGGAACCCGGGGCTCAGTGCACTGCCCACATTACCCAGAAGGCTAAGCGCAGACGATGTGACCAGACGATACCGTGAGATCTAGACTTTCGCGGGTGTTCTCCCCTTAGCCTTCCTCTAAGACGCTACTCTT